TGTAACTTCAACTGAAAGTATTTTTCCTTGGTCCTACTGGCAGTTGTGGACATAGATTATCACTTCATAAATATCGATATGGGATCTTACAGAAGCAGTAGGGATTCCTCCATCTTCAATAATTACAAATTTGTGCAGCAATAGAGGGAAAACCAATTAGACATACCAGAGGACAGCTCATGGCCTGGAACAACAGAGCCAGCGGTACTTTTTGCTTTTGGGATTTACAGAGGCCTTCTTCACAACAGAGACTCGGTCAAGTCATGCAAATATTTAACTATAGGCTGTGCCATGCACACAGAACAGATGAGGAGTACAGTTTTGGAATCCTGGCAAACAAATGGTGTATTTTCACACAGCCATCTAGATGACTCCAGAGAATGCAATATCATCAAGACAACTTGCATTCCCAATATCTATGTCAGGGAGAGGGATGGCTACATATTTGATGACTGTTTACACCATGCCCTGAAACAAGTTCAATGGAGCAGTGCCCTAGGGAACATGAATGCCCTTTGCAATTCATGACAAAATGGCAGAATATTTTATGTTCCCTGCTGATGAAGTTTTGTGGCAGTAAAGATTCAGGAGTTTAATTTCAGCAATCCACAAATACATTTTGTTGCTGTTTTGGTTGCTATTTTTCTTTTTGAATATTGTTTGGAATCATACCCTCTACATAATGATAAGAAACAAAAGTTGATTAATAAAATAACTTTATATTATACATTATGCTTTTGGTCTCTTTTTTATTCTTTGGGTACCTAGAAAATGGGTGGAATGTGGCTTTGGGAGTGGGAGCAACACCCCCAATACATGCATGAGGTATGGATAGTACCCTACAAATTTATTAACTAGTAAAAATTATACATGGAAGAGGCAGACTTTATAGTTTTCACTCACATGCAAATGTCTGCTGGGCTTTACTCAAGTTCTCTCAGTCTGGACAAAGATGGGCAACAATCTCAATGAGGCTCTATGCACACTAGCATTTTTTTAAGATCAAAAAATGCTGGAAAAAATGCTGGATAAAAAAACACTGGTAAAGCGGTTTTTAGTATCATTTCAGTAGAGTTTTAGTAGCGTTTAGGAGTATTAGCATTTTTATTAGCGTTTCTACAGTACATGTAGATAAAAAAGCTAAAAAAATGCTGGATAAAAACCACAGGTAATAGCTTTTAGTAGCATTTTAGTAACATTGAGGAGCATTTAGTAGCATTCAGGAGCGTTTCAGCATTTTTTTTCTATGGGAAAAAACACTCCCAAAAACTCTACAAAAACATTTTTTTTTCTGCTTCTAAACCTTGAAGCTTGAAAAACGCTACTAGCCTAAAATAGTGTGCATGGGCACATAGGACAACGCTATATAACTTCTAGGAGCAGAAAAAAAATAGTGTGCATGGAGCCTAATATTGCTTATTCCTTGGATTTTAAAGCATATGGTGATCTTGCACTATAGTTATTAATGTATCTCCGTCTTTGCTGATCCTTTGCTGTTCACTTTGGCACAGCTCACTTTGTACAGTCATGTACAGCCCTACACAAATATCTGTGTAGACTAAGAAGTTGCAGGAGGTGTATGGATCGTCTTGCTATACTTTTTCAGCCCCAAAAAACAACAGAGCACAACATACTGTTGTAAACAACACTCTGTGGGAAACAGTGATTTTTACTGCACACTTAATGTGTTGACAAATGAATCATAATGCATTTGATGTGGATAGGTCTTAAAAACTTCAGATCACAGCAATACAGTACTAAGTATAAATGGTTTTTTTCATATAATACTCACCTGTCCCCATGCACCTAAAACCATAGACAGTAGTTCTCCTTTAACATTTCTCAAAGTTTTTTTTACAGTCCCTTCTATCACTGCAATAAATGTTCTCACTGCTATAAAATAAATACACAAACTACATTAATTTCACATTGAATTGAATTTACTTTTGTTATTTTATTGCTAGATAGCTGAAACATTATCAGACAATACAAATGATAACACAGTAGCACAGTTTAAAAGTGCAAATTAGGTTTAAATCTTCCACCTCTGCCTGGTATGTTATAAGCACGCATATATTTCAATTAGACGATCCTGGGAATTTAATATTTGTAAAATATGAATAGATGAGCATGAATGGATGGCCTTACTTCATAGAGCACTACAGGATCTGGATTAGAAATGCTGTCACCTTTGATAAAGATGCTACATTTTTAATTTTTCACGTACATATTAATAGAGAGTGTTTCCTGCATTTGACTAACTTCCCAAAGGGATAAGGGTAAGGATAGCTAATCTGCTTATTATGGGGTTTCAGGGTCTGTTGCATAATGAAACCCTTTGAAGTGTGTTTGCATTCAAGCAGGTTCTACATGCCAAGAGTGGAATTAGATGCCCCTGAAAATTCTTCCAATTTACCAGGACTCCCTCCAGCAGTGGTTTGGCATATACACAGTTACATGTGTTTTGTTAGCTCAAGTGACTGAAAAAGCTTCCCTGCAAAGTCCTTTAGAGAGAGATCCCTCTCTACCAGTAAGACAGATACTTATGGCTCTCTCTAGGGAATTCAGTACTATTAGAGCTAAACAAAGTGTTCTTTTCCATATCTCAGGAGGCATTTGATATTTAGATGTAGTAGGATCTCTGTTTGATCATATCCTCTATATCCTCTATTCTCTTTAAATATGAACAGGAGCTAAGTGTGTCATATGGGGTGGGAAAAGGGATCCGTGGCTTTGCTTTCTATCCTATTTAATTTGTCCATTAAAGATACATGAACCTCAGGATCAATTTGAAATGGTGGTTAGACCCCCATGAGTTCGACTAATGGCTACACCTTGTCTAACATGAGAGATGCTGCTTGTGGTTAAGTAACTGCTTCTCTAAGAGTAATTTGAGCTATGGAAATTTGTCAGCTAACACGAAACCTTCTCTCTTAAGCCTTCCTTAAGATGTTTTGAATCTCTGGTTCTTAACCAGCTTTCCATTTAGAAATTAGAGCACGGTAAGTTTATCATGTCACTTGAAGTACTTTTCTCAAGGAATGCTTTCACTTTACACAGCTTTATTTTTATCATCTTAAAACATTTTATTAACTTTACATTTTTGTGCATTCTAAAGACAGTATTGTGTAATGGGTTCTGCATCTGGTCTATGCTTTAAATACAGTTCAGCCTTCTGGGTTAAAACATCCTGAAATAAGAATAAATCCATAATTCTTAGTAAAATGGCTACAACTCTGCCAGGTTGTATATAAACCCATGGCAAACAGCAATGTTCACAGATTCTCAGTTAGATTCAAGTCTTGATTTGACATGTACATGTAGATAAGAGGCGGACTGATCATTTGGAAACTCTGGCACTGCCCAAGGGCCCGGGGTCAGTAGGGGGCCCCATGAGATGCCCCTGGTACCTTTTTCATAGGCTTTTTTTTTAGTTTGGACAATGACACAGGGGCCCATGATCCCCTAATGCCCGGAGGCCCCATGAGTTGTCAGTCCGCCCCTGACTGGGACATTTTGAGAAATTCATGTTCTTGGTTTTAATCCACCTCAGCATAGGTTTGGCGGTGTTTTTGGATAATTGTCAGTCATTACCAGTTTTTGAGTCCCTGGTGATGGTGTTTTTAGGATGATTAAAAGTGTTGACTTACTGCCACACACTACATTTTGGCAAACTCCAAAATAGATTTGCTGTAGATTTTTTTTTTATCAGTTTTTCTCTAATCACCCTTGCTTAATGCCCAGCTTTGTGGAGTGTCCAGGAAGACCTAGGGACAGGTTTTCACATTTCATCTGAAGTTCTCTGCAGTTCCTTGATTTGCCCCTAGGTCACTCTTCTTACTAATGCACTTCTAACCCAGTCAATTTGTTTTGGGAAATGTTTTCTATAAGTTGACCAGTGGTTGTACTATATTCTTTACCTTTAAAATAGTAGATTTAATACTCATGGGATGTTTTTTTGTAAGCCAGCCCTTTGTGGCACTTTCCCAGAATTTTGTTCCAGACTTGTTTTGGTAGCTCTGTAGTCTACATCATGCTGTCTGTTTAACAAATTTTGAGGACCTTCCATATACATATTTCTGGACCTACAAAATACATATTTCTGGACTCCATTCTAAATAATTATTCATAGTTTCACAGCAAAGTGGGTAAATAGTTATCCAACCAAGACTTCAGTTTTTCCATAACATCATAACATTATTATTGTAGCGCTACCTCTACAGATGCCGCTGGTTGATATGGGTGCTCTGCTCTTATCCAGCCCCATTTGGGGCTTCAACCGCACTGGTACCAACAATATACCTTTCTGTAAACCTCAGCAGGCACACGAGAATTTGACTCAGCTATATATATAATATAAACAATAACAGACTGCATTGGCAGTTTAAAAGTCATAAAACGTATCACAGAGTATATTGGCATGTTAAAGTCAACCAGCATGAACATAATAATGAGTGCACAATTAGCTTCACAGTGCCCCTTACAGGGACTTTAGATTCCAGCAGATATTTTGACCCTGATGGCATAAACAGTAGCTCTCTGAATTATTTATTATTATTTATTACAGGTACTTATATAGCACCGTCAATTTACGCAGCGCTTTACTGATACAGTATATTGTACATCAGCGGTTCTCAACCTGGGGGTCGAACGACACTTTCACAGGGGTCGCCTAAGACCATCGGAAAACACATATTTCCGATGGCCTTAGGAACCGAGACACCGCTCCTCTATCCGTCTCCAGGTGTGGACGGGATGACATGCCATCCCTGTCATTGGACACACCCCCGGGATCAATCCTTCGCCGGTGATTGGCCGCCGGAACTGTAGCACAGGAGAGGCACACAGGCGGCCAATCACCGGCGAGGAGGTGGAGCTTGGAGAGGAGGAGCCGAGCGGCACCGCGAAGATCGAGCGAGTGAAGAGGAGGAGAGCGGCCGGAGAAGGAAGACATCTGACAGGTAAGTGTCTGTACCATGAGAGAGGGAGGGAGCGAGCGAGCCCAGGCTGGAGCAGGGGTCAGCAAGGTAAGTATCATTGGTATCAGTGGGAGGAATAGTGCCCCATCATTGGTGTGTCACTAATACCAACGATGGGGCACTATTCCTCTCCCCACTGACACCAACGATGGGGCACTATTCCTTCCCCCACTGACACCAACGATGGGGCACTATTCCTCCCCCCACTGACACCAACGATGGGGCACTATTCCTCCCCCCACTGACACCAACGATGGGGCACTATTCCTCCCACTGACACCAACGATGGGGCACTATTCCTCCCACTGACACCAATGATGGTGCACTATTCCTCCCACTGACACCAATGATGGGGGCACTATTACTCCCACTGATACCAGTGATGGGGCACTATTCCTCCCACTGATACCAATGATTGGGCACTTTTCCTTCCACTGACATCAGTGATGGGACACTATTCCTCCCACTGACACCAGTGTGATGGGGCACTATTCCTCCCACTGACACCAATGATGGGGCACTATTCCTCCCCACTGACACCAATGATGGGGCACTATTCCCCCACTGACACCAATGATGGGGCACTATTACTCCCACTGACACCAATGATGGGGCACTATTCCCCCCACTGACTCCAATGATGGGGCACTATTCCTCCCACTGACACCAATGATGGGGCACTATTCCCCCCACTGCCACCTATGATGGGGCACTATTCCTCCCACTGACACCAATGATGGGGCACTATTCTTCCCACTGACACCAATGATGGGGCACTATTCCTCCCACTGACACCAATGATGGGGCACTATTCCCCCCACTGACACCTATGATGGGGCACTATTCCTCCCCACTGACACCAATGATGGGGCACTATTCCTCCCACTGACACCAATGATGGGACACTATTCCTCCCACTGACACCAGTGTTGGGGCACTATTCCTCCCACTGACACCAGTGTTGGGGCACTATTCCTCCCACTGACACCAGTGTTGGGGCACTATTCCTCCCACTGATACCAGTGATGGGACACTATTCCTCCCACTGACACCAGTGATGGGACACTATTCCTCCCACTGACACCAGTGATGGGGCACACTATTTCTCCCACGGACACCAATGATGGGGCACTATTCCCCCCCCGACTGACACCAATGATGGGGGCACTATTACTCCCACTGACACCAATGATGGGGCACTATTCCCCCCACTGACACCTATGATGGGGCACTATTCCTCCCACTGACACCAATGATGGGGCACTATTCCCCCCACTGACACCAATGATGGGGCACTATTCCCCCCACTGACACCTATGATGGGGCACTATTCCTCCCAATGACACCAATGATGGGGCACTATTCCCCCACTGACACCAATGATGGGGCACTATTTCTTCCACTGACACCAATGATGGGGCACTATTCTCCCCACTGACACCAATGATGGGGCACTATTCCTCCCACAGACACCTATGATGCGGCACTATTCCTCCCACTGACACCAATGATGGGGCACTATTCCTACCACTGACACCAATGATGGGGCACTATTCCTACCACTGATACCAATGATGGGGTACTTTTCCTCCCATTGACATCAGTGATGGGACACTATTCCTCCCACTGACACCAGTGACGTGGCATTACTCCTCCCACTGCAAAATTACAGTTATGAAGTAGCAACGAAAATAATTTTATGGTTGGGGGTCACCACAACATGAGGAACTGTATTAAGGGGTCGCGGCATTAGAAAGGTTGAGAACCACTGTTGTACATTCACATCAGTCCCTAACCCACAAGGGGTGTATGAGATGAATCACTCCAGGTGACCAAAAACAAAGGTAACAAATGATCAACTGTCACAAGAGAGTTCTCACAAAAAGGTGCTAGGTTTGGGCCTGAAAGATAAAGGTCTAGAATTGAATGCAAGTCTGCCCCCAGGATAAAGTGTTCTTCTGCCAACTACCTTGGAGCCCTTTGAAGATGTTGGCACGCAGGGAAATAAGAGTGTATCTGTAGACTGGGTGCCACAATATGCCTGGGAAGTTGGTTTGAGCAATGGAAGGGAATATTTAGAAGTGGTTCAGTACTTTAGACAAAGACAGGCACCATTGCTACAGTAAATGTTAAAGTGTGCACGGCAGACACCATTGCAGCAGTTACATGTTAAAGTATGCACAGTTGCTGCTGTTAGATGGTAGGGTATACACAGGGTATACACAGTTCCAGCAGTCTGAAGTGCAGAACACGTAACCTGACTGCATTGGGCTAAATAAAGCACACTTGCTACTGCAATCATGGGGAAAAGAGTTCTGCAGCCAGTAATATTACCTTCTGTTACACTAGTAACATAAAATCCATATTAAATCCATTTTAATGGTTGCAAAATATAGAACTTCTGGTAAGGACTTCAACCCCTGGCTGTATTAGAAAGATAGATCATGATAGATGTAAGGTGAACTGACATGAAATTGTATATTCTATCAATAACATAAACAGGTAGACACCTAAAATGATGTTTCAAAAAATTCTTGAAAGATGTGTAGCAGACCTGAGCAATTTTATTTTTATTTTTTAATAAACCTGGACTTTCACCTTCCTGATTTTGCCATACAGACATGTTGTTGGTAGTGAACAAAAGCTACTTGTAGTGTAATCCTTTTTGCTGGGTTTTACTAATTTATTAAATTATGTACTGCAAGTCTGTGAAGGTTATGGGTATACCCATACCCGTTACCACATGAGTAACTCAGTCACCTTCATTTAATCATTATGGAATGTGTCAAGGCAGATGCTGGTTGTCCTGGTTGTGAAAATATGTAAAACTTTGCTGTTCTAATTTCATAATTTATGGTGCCATGTTTGGGACAGATGCTAACAGGTTATGTTACATGGGTATCCTTTTAGTTTTGCATTTTTTGCACACGTTTAAAAAATAATTTTAGGTCTGAAGATTACACAAAACACCCAGATATTATCTATTTTTGAAAGCAGACACCCTAGAGAATAAAATAGTGGTAGTTTAAATTTTTTTTATGTCACACAATATTACCACAAGGGTCTAAGAAACGCAAAATTTCAGTAAAACACACTAATGTGAACAAACACAATACATTACCCAACATTTTTGGTAAAATGTAAAAGATGAGGATGCACCGAGTAAATAGATACCCAACATGTGAAACCTTATGTTTGTATGTGCCAGTGAAATGGCGACAAACTTCAGTACCCTATATTTTCTATAGGTGACACTTCGAAAGCCCCGAAGGAGGTCTTGTGCTAGAATTATTGCTCTCACTCTGGCGTGTGCGGCGATATGTACTAAGTGTATCATGATACAGAATGACCCGTAAGTGACTTCATACATGATGCTTTCCGGGTCACAGCAATAAAGGGAGGAGAGAACGGACCCGGGCCAGCAGATAGGTAAATGGATTCCGAAAAACAAGGCAGGGGCGTGCGGGGGGGGGGGGGGGCTCCATTACCGGTGTGTGGAAGCATTCAGGCATTAGCGCAGCCACCCGACGGCTTCCACCTGACACGCAGGAGTCTGCCTGTCAATTATATACACAATCCTGGTGGCTGCATTCACCTGTCAGGCATACAGACTTGACAGTGCAAGGCTTAAAGGTATGAATTTTTGTCAAATTGCTGGGGTCAAGATTTTTAAGTAGTAATATATGTGGGTGAGAGATGGTGATATGGAACATATCCAACTGAGTATGACTAAGTACTTCTGACTATGTACTACAAGATGGATCAGCACATTGTTCTGTGTGTTAGCTTTTCTATTAACAGTCAGGGGGTTATGCCTCTTAATTAATTTTTTTTCCACCTATCATATTTTGAACTTTTGGATTTGAATTTTACATTAGTCCTCTATTGTTCTCCCACCTATGTTTTAAAGTGGACCTCAACTCAAAATTTAAAGATTAGCTAAGTTATTGGGAATATTTACAATGTATACTTTGACAAACTGTACCTTGAAAACATTATCTTTCATCCTAACTTCCTTCTTAAAAATAGCAGTTTGCTTCCTCATATGTAAGGGTGCCAACACTCCTTTACAAACAGTATCATAAGTATATGTATATTTGCAGTATACGATCTAAGGCACTGCTGCCTCTACTTATCTCATGCAATTTGTTGTGATATTTGGTGATGCTGTTACTGTGCTACTCACTGTTCCACTTACTGGAGGCTCTCCGGAGACTGGAGGACATGAGAAAACATAGTCCTTCCTCTATCCAGGTCACCTCCACACAAGAGCACAGTGGGGTTGATTTCCTAAAACTGGAAAGAGCAAAGTCTGACACAGCTGTGCATGGTAGCTATGCAGAGCTGCGTGGGTTTTTGCACTCGCCAACTTTAGTAAATCAACCCCAGTAAGTAAGGAAATGGGAAATGAAAGATCACCTGCACCTGGGAGTCTAAAGGTACAGCTGATGACTAATCCTTTGCCATCTGTTTTCCTTTATTAGTCACACATTTCTCAGTTAAGAACCCCATTCATGTGGAAAAAAGAAAGATCAAACATGGTGATGTAGCGCCCTCCAGCACATAGTTGGTTAAGTGTAGTTAGAGGCTTGCTAGGAGCCTGGGTATAGTTAAAGTTTATTTCGGGTCAGGCTGGAGGGCTTACAGGTCATTGCCTCCCCCTGCTCTAGAAGCTTGGAGAAGCTTCTAGAAGTCAGTAGGTGGAGGCAAGGAGGAGCTGATCTGCATGTTCATGGGAATCTGACCAATCCCAGGCAGGAGGCCTGGCAGTGTGGCAGACTGGACCCATAAATATGGGAGAGCCTGGCCAGTCAGAGAGTTGAGTGGAAGATGAATGGTTGAGGTCTGAAAGCAGTTCTATCCATAGCTGCAGGACAAGGACAGTGTGATATAATTCTGCACCCTAGGGTCTATAAGGGAGAAGTCTGCTGGATTCAAGTTCTTGGCACGTCTTCAGGGGGACAGTTTATTGATAATCAGTGCCTTGGTTATCAGTGTAGACAGGGGCGGACTGACAACTCATGGGGCCCCTGTGTCCTTGCCCAAACTCAAAAAAGCCTATGAATACGGTACCAGGAGCATCTCATGGGGCCCCAT